CAGGAGGGAGGAGTGGCAGAAACACGGTGCGTGTGCAGCCTGTGTGGAAGGAATGAACTCTCCGCTGAGATACTTCCAGATCTCCCTGAAACTGAGAGGACAGTTCGATTTACACAAGTTAGTTCACACACACACACACACGAAGAGTTTCTAAAATATGTTTTGTTATAAATGAAACGAACCCGACAGTTTATAAAAGTACCATGAGTCCATATATTGATTGAGATGAATTAAAAGGTCCAGTGTGTGACATTTAGGAGGATCTACTGGCAGAATATATAATATTTATAATCTGTGTAATCTGTAACTGCACCACTAGATGCCACTAAATCCTACACACTGGTCCTTTAAGTAAACGTATGTAAGTACGATCAGGAAACAACCGTACTGTAACTGTGACTGCTTCCTAACCTTTCACACACCGTACGTCCACTGTGGGGTTCAGTAAAGTGTCGTCTGTGCTGCAGGTTGCTGGAGGACGCTGGAATCACTCCGTCCTGTGACCGACCCTACAAGGTAACTTTCACCTGCTGGATTATTTGACTTTATAATGCAAACAGGGAGGATTATGGGTAACGGTTTTTATTTAATGACCAGCAAAGTGAGTGGGACAGCACTCGCTCAGTGGAGAGTAAATACTTCCAGCCTGTTTACAGCTGGTCCCAGAATGCATCCTGGGTAATCAGATCACAGGCAGACAGCTGCAAACACAGTGTGAACGACCACTGTATCGCATCCTGATCCCGTCACTCAAACTACGTCCCAATGTGGTCTGGGATGCATCTGACCACACCAAAATCCCCGTCGACGGACCACCCACTCACTGACATCCTGTCACACAGGAACTTGCTGTTTGGTTCACTGTGGTGTAAACGATGTGTTCGAGCTCTTTCACCTGCAGAGATCAGCAGCAGATGTTTGTATCCGCAGTATCACCAGACTCCATTAATAAATCTCACAATTTTAGAGGTACTGAGGGAGGAGAAACTTTATAAACTGTGTGAAACGTTTCCTACGACTGATTGATCATTCTTTGGGCCTTCTTGTAGATTCAGGAAACTTTACACAGGCGTGTTGGTTAGACGGCGGTCCGACCTCCTCCACTGCGTCCACTGTGAGGGACTGTTGGACTGTCAGCAGCCCTGCTGGACGCACACTTTTACGTTCTCTGGCATTAATGTCTTTCTTCGTTTGTGTGTGTCCTCCTAAAGTTCAGTTATAGATTGTGTTACTTCCTGTGTCTGTGCAGGTCGAGGAGGTTCATCAGGTCCTGGATCCACATCTGGGAGACAAACCTGAGATCCAGTGTGTTACAGACGACAAGGTGAGATCTTCTGTCTGTCCTACGTTTCTCTGTGCTCCAGTCACGTCTCATTATCGTCTTTACAACTGAAAATGAACACAAATTCTAATGATTTTTAAGCTATTTCTGGGGCTGCTTCCTTCTAATGTGCATTTTTGAGGCTTTCTCTGATTCCTGTACTTTAATTATAACAACTCAGAACTAGAAACATAATGCTAACCAGACGAACAGCCAGAAGCGTAGGCGTCCCCCCGAGAGTGGTGCCATTAACCCAGAACCAGAACATTCAGAGGTTTACCCCACAGCCTCCAGTAGAGGCAGAACAAGTCCTTTTCGAGGTTCTGCTGCACATAAATACTAAATACTGACTGTACCCACCAAACCAGGGGACTCACCAACATTTCCATGGAATATAAAACTATTAAAGATACACAGAAATCTTCTTCAGCCCACATCTACACGCCCTTACATCTGTTCCCGAGTTCCTGAAGCTGCTCTCTGTATCAGGCTCATAGTATCCATCAAAACAGGCCAAAAATGTACTGCCCCCCCCACCCCCTTCTGGAGCCGGTCTGAGTGTGAGAACACACATTCAAACCCACAAACACTTCACTCTCGGGGGGTTCAGTAAAACTTCCCCCTCATTGTTCAAACCAAACAGGGTCAGAGACTCTGAAACTGTACCAGACAACCGGTTCAGTCGCCGTCAGAGCCAACTGCTGGACGTCCATCAGTCAGTCGGTCCAGGAGTCCGTCCAAAAGCCACTTCACTTTCATCCAGATGTCTCAGCTACTGGTGGCCACAGCGTTTCATCACGCCAAGATTCCTGCTGTTGGTTTTATTTATTTTCCCTGTGCAGTTTTCTCTTCTTTCTTTCTCTAAAAGGACTTTTATAAAATTTATAAAATGCTCAGGCTGGAACGTAAAGCCCTGGTTCTCTGCAGGAATAAACTTTACTTCATAAATAAATAATCAATAAATAGCTCCTATTTGTAACTCCAAATATTATCTATGCAGATTATGAGTCGGGCCTCTGACTGAAAGAGCCACAAACCGACTCTTTCATTCTCCATGTAGTCATTTTGTGTCTCTTTGTGGTCGTTCTGCGTCTCTTTGTGGTCTCTTTGTGTTGTTTTGTGTCTTTCAGGTACAGTGTTGAATGTATGACAGGATGAGGCCTATGGATTTGGTATCTCAGCACTTACATTAAAAGGATGTTAGGAAGGAAGTATTTTAATGAACAGGCTGAATGAACAAGGCCAAGACCAAAATATGTTTCATTGTTTTTAGACGTGAATATTGTTTTTGAAAGAGGATTTAAAAATATTTTTAACCATCTGTTCCTGAGCTCCATGTGGTTTTAATAAGTCCTGTCCTGTCCGGGAACACATTTTTATTTCTGTTATCGAACAGCTAGACCTCTTTGTTGTGGAGTTCATATGTACTCTCACAACAACATTTAATGATGAATAATGACTACCAAATGCTCGTGTTTGGTGTCAGTTGGAAGTTAAAGCTATGATTGAACTTACTGGTACAATGGAGTTAGTATAAAACAGACGTACTGGCAGTAGTATCAGTGACTACCAGTGGTTCTTCACCTTCCTCCTCCTCCTCCTCCTCCTCCTCCCTCAGGGCAGAGAGGTCTGGTTCCAGGTGAAGATCCCTCTGTCTCGCAACCTAACTGTTGGCTGTCATCACCACGGCGACGCTGACGGGACCCCGGCGTCCTGGTCTGGATGGAGCTCCTCCCACGGGCATGCCTGCCCTCCTCAGGTCCCTTTCTACTACTTCCCCATAGACCACCAGCAGCCCCAGCGGCCCTGCGGCTGACAGGAGCCCCACAGCGACGCCTTACCGGGCTAGAGGAAGTCTACCTCTGATCTCTCGAAGGTGGAGCAGTCCAACTAATTATATTAATACTTTAAAGTTCAGTGTTTGTTTCATTTTCTGTCTCTGAACCCATCGATTAAAGACATTTTACACTTCCTTTCATTGTTTGCTGTTTCTAAAGGTTCAGTTGGACAGACCGACACAAATCAGTGTTTCCATCAAACTGTTAACGGACTAAAAATGTTAAAATAAATGTTTCCATCCACAGAAGATGATGTAATTAAAAGAGCGCCAGTGGAAGCTGTTTGAGTTGCATTTTAGGACGTCGTTATGGTTTATAGGAGGTAGGTTTAAGGTGAAACTGAAGACAGATTTCTACATAGTGGACAATAAAGTTGTTAAATAAAATTGTCCCAGCATTGTACCTGGGACGACTCCCTCCCCAAACAAATCTGAGACTGTACTGATCCATCAATACCCACCTTTTCAGAGCTGCTTTTAATCATTTTAACAATTATTGATTGTTGTAGACATAGCTGTAATTTCTTAGTGTTGTTTTTAGCTTTTTCCTTTTCCTTTTTAACTCGTGTCTTTGAGTTTTTAGAAAAGCACTCTATAAATTAAATGATTATTTATTATATATCACAACTTCCCCCCCAACATTATATAACTCCGCCCTTCAGATCAGACCTTTATTTATTTATTGCTTTATTGCTTGAAGTTAAGAAGTTTGTGTAAGAATCAGCGTCCATCCACCATCCTAACCTCTGAATATAATAATGTACACACACACACTGATCAACTGGTACACAGTTTATTGACATGATACATTTAGTTTTTTTAACCCTCCTCCACCCAGAAAACCAAAAGTACTGACAGAACATTCAGAAAGCACTAAAAACAGAGTCGGACCACTGCTAAGAAAACAGTAAAGCTAACAAAAAATTAAAAAAAACAAAAAACAAAAAAGGACGAGAGAGAGAGAGAGACTGCTGTCTGTGTGTGTGTGCTGCTTAAAGTAATAAAAACATGTCTGCCTGCGTCTGAGATAATACAGCCATTATTCTCTTAGTCCTCTCCTGTGTGTCTGTGTTTGAGTTTCTGTCCCTCCGTCCCTCCCTCCGTCCGTCCCTCCCGTCTCTCAGTGCTCGAGGCGTCCCAGGAACCTCAGGTTGAGGATCTTCAGCTGGTCGTCCAGCTCCATGCGGACGATGCCGTCGTCGCCGTCAATGCTCAGCAGGATCCCCGTCGCCTCGCGGTCTTCTCCCAGAATCACCTTCACCTGGAGAACACGGGGACAAAAACCGTCACATCGTCGGTGAACTCTACGATTTACTACGGGAACGTTTCTGTGGCCGCAGCCCAAAAACAAAATGTATCTCGTCTCCGATTAAAAGAAGAAGTAGAAAGTGTGTGTTGCAGGTTCAGGTAACATCGCTGACAACAAGACGTTCTGTATATTTTAAAACCTGCTTTGAGGTTTCAAACTTGTATGTGATCTGAGTGAGGGGTTAAACTGCAATACACAGTTTTCCAGGACAACAGAGATTATTTTTCCAGGATATTTGGTCATTTTAATGAATTCCAGGTGTTTCCAGGAAGCCTGTGTGCTATTAAAATGTCACTGAAGGACCCAAACCAGGAAAAACTGACCCAGGTAGGATGTCCACATACTTTTGGCCATATTACATAATCAATATCTAATAACTGAACTTTATTATGTCCAGTTACTGTTTGACCTGCTGCTCACATTAATGATTTAAAGATAATTGGAATCAAATGACACTAGGAGTTACTGAAGTTCATAAAACAGGAACAGAGTTTATTGCTTCCAACATCAAGTTCATTCTTTTATGGGCTCATTTAAATATCAATATCTACAACATGTTCTCATTAATGTTGTGATATTGTTTTAACGAGCTGGAACATCTCAGTGAAATAAGAAAATAACTCCATCAAACAGTTAACATGAGCAATAATACTCGTCCTCATCTAAGACGGTAAAACTACTCTGGTGTGTGACATCGAAGTGCAGTGAAAGGAGGAAGCTGACCGAGGCTCGCTCAACTGTGATTGGAGCACAGAGCAGAAAGGGGGCGGGGCTTATGGACTCTAATGGAGGTGAAGGATGAACAGTTACCTTGTTGTTCTTGGTGGGAGTGACGGGCTCCAGGTGATCACTGCTGACACTGACCACCTTCTCTGACTCCTGCATGAACACTGAACACATCCCTCCCTACACACACACACACACACACACACACACAATTATATTATTAACAGCATTTTCCAGGACTTTTAAGTGGCGCCCACTGTTGTTCAACATTAATTTGGTCCACAGCTCAACATACAATTCTAGTTTTCAAGGACAACATCAGATTATTTCCAGGATATTCGGTCCGTTTAATCAGTTTCCAGGTGTTTCAAACTCGTCTCTAAAATTCCAGGTTTTCTAGTCAAACCTCAGAAACTTCAATCAGCAACTGTTTTGATAATCGATTAATAATTTCAAGCAAAAATGTTTCCAGGATTTCTCTCTTTTCTTTGTCTTAAAAGACAGTAAATTATTTATTTGCAGTGTTGCTCAAGAGAAAACTCTTCAGAGACGAGGACAATAACAATCCCTGTTTTTCCATCAAAACGTTTCGCAAATTTCAAGTAATTCTGCAAAAGAAAATGCGAATGACGCTTCCATCCACTACCGTTGTGTTATTATTAGGAGTTGGTTCAGATGAGCAGTAGGTGGCGCCAATTCTCCAGAACAACAGGAAGGAAATATGATTTCAGTTAGGTTCATGTAATGAATGTGAGGAAGGTTGTGGATGGATGTGGATATTTCCTGGGTGTATTTGAATAGAAAACATTTTTTCTGTGCGTAGGAGAAGGAACTTTAATTTCATTGTGTAACAGTGTGGCTGTATGATGATCAATAAATCTGATTACTGAGCCACAGGAGCGACGAGGACACTGCTGGAGCACAAACAGCTGATCCTGTTACGTGTTTATTATGGCAAGCCCTTTTAACATTTAACCGCTAAGTTTGACTATCCAGAATTAA